CCCCACTCTCTTCTAGCTTGTAGGGTTTCCATTGAGAGATCTGCTGTAAACCTAATAGGTTTACCTTTATGGGTAACTTGATCTTTCTCTCTGGCTGCCCTTAATATTTTCTCCTTCGTTTCGATCTTGGTGAATCTAACGATTATGTGCCTTGGGGTTGGTCTTCTTGAGGAATATCTTTGTGGTGTTCTCTGTATTGCCTGGGGTTGAATAGTGTCCTGCTTTGCTAAATTAGGAAAATTTTCCTGGATAATGTCCTGGAGAGTATTTTCCAGCTTGAATTCATTCTCTCCGTCACATTCAAGTACACCAATCAAGCATATATTAGGTCTTTTCACATAGTCCCATATTGCTTGGAGACTTTGCTCATTCCTTTTTATCCTTTTTTCTCTATTCTTGTCTTGTCATTTTGTTTCATTGAGTTGATCTTCGACCTCTGATACCCTTTCTTCTGCTTGATCCATTCGGCTGTTTAAGCTTGTACATATTTCACTAAGTTCTCGTGTTGTATTTTTCAACTCCATAAGTTCATTTGTATTCCTCTCTATATTGTCTATTCTTTTCAACATTTCATCGAACCTTTTTTCCAAGTTCTTAGTTTCTTTACATTGGGTTAGAACAAGTTCCTTTAACTCCCAGAAGTTTCTTATCATCCACCTTTTAAAGCCTACTTCAGATAATGGAACACAGTCCTTTTCCATCAGGGCTTGTTCTGCTGCTGATGAGTCCTTTTCCATCAGGGCTTGTTCCGTCGCTGATGAGTCCTTTTCTATCAGGGCTTGTTCCGTTGCTGATGGGTTCTGATTTTGAGTATACTCGGCCTTCTTAGGCTGTTTTTTCCCCTTCATTGTAGATGAACCACCTTTCTAATTAGGTTTCTGAGTCAATGTCTGACTTATTGATTCCCAGTGCTGGGATCCGAGCAACCCACTGTGGCGGCCTAAATAGCAGCGATAAGACTGATGGTGCTCTTCTGCCTGGGAATCTCTGGTCTGGCTTCCCTCTTGAGTCCGCAACAAGCGGCTCCTACTTCCCGGAGCTCCAAACTCCGGTCAGTAGGGGAAGCAGTCCTGTTGGCTCTGCATGAAGAGCTGCTGCGCCGAGACGCCGGCAAAACCGCTGCAGCGGCCACAAGTGTCGCGCTGGCACCCGTGGGGCTCCTCCACTGGGAATCGGCTCAGCGGTGAGTGACGAAAATTCATCTAAAGATGTGGTGTCTCTCGTTCTCTGAGCTTTCACTGGGAGCTACAATCCTGAGCTGTTAGTGGTCGGCCATCTTGGATCGATCTCCGTGATTTTTTTTAAAGCTCATCAACTATCGTTAGTGTGCTTTTTTGTGTGACCCAAGACAAATTCTTCTTCCAGTATTGCCTAGGGAAGCCAAAAGATTGGACAACCCTGATTTAAAGGAATGGTGAATCTGGGGAAAAAATTAGGCAGGAAACTTGGCCTCCTGGTCTTCCTTCTCTTTCTTTGGGATCTGTCTCCCTGCAGAGAGCATGTGGATTGATTTTTCTCTCACCTACACAGTTAGCACAACAGGGCAAGCCTGCTTATCCTGGTTAGCCTGTCTAATTCTGGGGTACAGTGTAGGGAGGCCATAGGGCTAGATCAAAGCCATGTCCTCCAACAGAACATTATCTGTTGGTTTAACATTATTAAACTGATATTTTGATTTTTGTCTACCTGCCTCCTACTGTTCTCTACTACCCAATAATGCCTGAAGAAGCTAATGATATAACTGCAACCAAATACCGATGAGGATTCGAGAATCTCCTTTTCATATTCTTTCTTGAGTTTTCCTTGTAATGGCAAAATGCCTGTACATTTTTGATCAATTTGCTTACATTTCTGTAAAGTAAATATCCCTTAATATACAGATATACTTTCAACTTTTCATTCCTAAAATTTTACTGACTTAATTGCTACAATCTCATGCACCAGCCTGACCCCAACAGCAATTGTTCTGTAGCTCTAGGCATAACTGTGGCCTCTGCTTCAGAGACTACATTTTGGAAGATGTGCAATAGGAAAATGAAGGCATGGGATACTTTCAGTAGACAGAAAAGGGAGGAATATGTTGAGTTTCTCTAGTACTTTCCCTGGGTGGGATATTTGGCTGCCACTATGAAACCCATCCCCTTAAACCTAATCATGGGCCCACTGGGAGCAAATGTCACAAAGTGTTGACAAGTTTAGTCTCAGGAGCCATGCTGAGTCAGTTTCCACTCACTGGCTGTGTGAGTGGGGGTTCAATGGGTTAATGTGTATGAAATGTTCAGAATAGGACTTGAAACTTAGTAAGCACTCAGGAAATTTCAACTCTCTCTCTCTCTGAGTACCTATATATATGATTTGTAGGAGTCATTCTATGTTTTATTGGCCAGAGATGGGAATGAATTTAGAGGATGAAGAACCCGGGAAACCTGAGACAGGGATCTCTACTTTCCTATGCATTGTTTACATTCTTCCAGATATGGAGGAAATAATTAATTATCTTTTATGAACAACCCGATCAAATATCTACTTATCCAGTTGACCCACACCAATGGAAAAGTGAGTAAGTAGCAAGTGGCCAGAGCCACAGAGAGATGAGAGAGAGACTTACCAGCAGAAATAGTTCTGTGGGACAACTCCACTGTAAGTGCCTGAAATGAAAGGGTAATTATCTGGAGGTGGGAATCTGGGATATACCTCCCTGAGATGATGGTAAATAACTTATACCCAATGTAAGCTGCAAAGCTTAATGTGTTCAAGATTTTACAGAAGCAATGGGTGCAGATAGAAGGTAGCAAGGGGAATTCAGGGTGTGGTGATGAAAAAGGACACCAAACTGTGTGGAGGCAGGTCCTGAACTGGTGAAGGAATGGTATGGTTAAAATCAAGGAGGTAGCGTAGCCAAGACAATCCTAAGCAAAAAGAATAAAGCTGGAGGCATCACACTCCCTAAGTTTGAAGTTTGAAGTATGAGGCTATATGCAGTATCCAAAACGACATGATACTGGTACTAAAACAGACACATAGACCAATAGAATCATATAGAGATCTCAGAAACAAGACTGTGTATCTACAACCATTTAATCTTTGACAAACCTGACAAAAACAAACATTGGGAAAAGATTCCCTATTTAATAAATGGTGCTGGGAAAACTGGCTAGCCATATACAGAAAATTGAAAATGGACCTCTTCCTTACACCTTATACAAAAATTAACTCAAGGTGGATTTAAGATTTAAATAAAGCAATTGCATCAAAAGCAAAAATTGGCAAATGGGATCTAATTAAACTAAAGAGATTCTGCAAAAGAAGCTATCATCAGAATGAACAGACAACCCACAGAAAGGGAGAAAATTTTTGCAGTTTATCCATCTGACAAAGGTAACTTAAACAAATTTACAAGAAAAAACAAAAACAAAAACAACTCTATCCAAAAGTGGGCAAATGACATGAACAGACACTTCTCAAAAGAAGACATTTATGTGGCCAAGACACATATGAAAAAAAGCTTAACATCACTGATTATTAGAGAAATGCAAATCAAAAATTACAATGAAATACCACCTCATGCCAGTCAGAATGGCAATTATTAAAAAGTCAAGAAGCAGCAGATGCTGGTGAGGCTATGGAGAAATAGGAATGCTTTTACACTGTTGGTAGGAATGTAAACTAGTTTAACCATTGTGAAAGACGGTGTGGCGAGTCCTCAAAGACCTACAAACAGAAATATCATTTGACCCAGCAATCTCATTACTGGGTATATACCCAAAGGAATATAAATAATTCTATTATAAAGATACATGCATGTGTATGTTCATTGCAGCACTATTCATAATAGCAAAGACATGGAATCAACTCAAATGCCCATCAGTGATAGACTGGATAAAGAAAATATGGTTCATATACACCATGGAATACTATGCAGCCATAAAAAGGAAGGAGTTGGTGTTCTTTGCAGGGACATGGACAGAGCTGGAAACCATTATCCTTAGCAAACTAACACAGAAACAAAACCAAATACCACATGTTCTCACTTGTAAGTGAGAGATAAGCAATAAGAATACAGGGACACAGGGAGGGGTACAACACATATTGGCACCTGTAAGGGGGCAGGGAGGAGGGAGAGAATCAGGATAAGTAGCTAATGCATGTGGGGCTTAATATCTAAGTGATGGGTTGATACATGCATCAAATCACCATGGCACATGTTTACCTATGTAATAAACCTCCACATCCTGAATATGTATCCTGGAACTGAAAACAAAATTAAAAAGAAAAAATATATAACATTTAGTGAAATATTAAAGAAAAATTAAGGAGGTACTGACTAAGTAGGCAGTTTAGGGGACTGAGACTAAGAAAAGAAGAGTAATTGGTGTGACACTGTTGAACTCAAATTTCCCTGGCCCTTACATAGCTGAGATAGAGAGAAATGGTAGCCAAGGGGGATATCCTTCAGCATTTGCTTACAAATTACTCAGTAGCTATAATGGGAATTCAACAGGGAGATTCTACAGAGAATGTTTGATCGGCTAAGCTTCTTGTTCTTGTAATTTACCTTAACTACACACAGTATATCTTTTCGGATTCTGCCATATGTCAGTAACAAGAGTTACATACTTGTACTACTTTTGGGCTATTTTTTGTTGAGTGCAGAGTGCAGCATTTGGGCAGACTGTGGGCTCTGGAGTCAGGAAGACCTTGGTGTGAAATCAGAGAACTGCCCTCTCCTTCGTGACCCTGAGCAAGTTAGTTTTCCTTGCTGACACACTGTTTCCTTATTTTGTAACATAGAAATAGTGCGATGTGTGTTTTAGTACTGCATTGAGTATTTAGTTAAATAACTTTTGTGCCTGGGGCATATTAACTGTCCAATAAAGGCTAGTTATTATGATTTTTGTGAAAATAGGCTATTCTGGGGAGGTTATTGTTTTTTATTTGTTTTTTTGTTTTTGTTTTTTCCTGAAGAAATTCCTTCTCCTTTTTGGCTATCTATGGCCTATGGCACGGTCAGTAGGCAAGTGACCATGAGGAAGAGTGACAGGAACGTGGAGGGAATAGTCTCCACTTTCAGATAAGAGCACCAAATGTCTTCCTTGACTGAGGCAGAGGTGGAGGTGAAGCCTTGGATAGTTTAATTCTCCAGCAGTTTGGATAAATAAGTTTCTACGCATGACCTAAGAAAACACTTTCTTTTTGTCCAACACCTTCCACAGGGCATTCTTGATCTCTTTGTTCCTCAAACTGTAAATGAGAGGATTCAGCATGGGGATCACCAATGAATAGAACACAGACACTACTTTGTCCCTGCCTGGCGAGTAGCTGGAGCTGGGTCGCAGGTACATGAAAAGGGCCGTCCCAAACAGCAGAGTCACCACCATCAGGTGCGAGGAGCACGTACTGAAGGCTTTCCATTGGCCCTCTGCTGAAGGGATCTTCAGGACGGCAGATACTATGTAACCATAGGATAAAAGGAGGTGGAGGAATGATGTCCCCCCAACAGCGACCACCACGAGGAAATTCACCACTTGACTGAGGAAGGTGTCAGAGCAAGACAGAGCTAGGATTGGTGGGAGGTCACAGAAGAAGTGGTTGATGACGTTGGGTCCGCAAAAGTGAAGCCTAAATATGGAGCTTGCCTGGATCAGGGAGCTCAGGAAGCCACCAACATATGCCCCAACCACCATGCGTGTACAGAGGCCCTGGGACATGATGGTGGTGTAGAGAAGGGGGCTGGAGATGGCTGCATATCGGTCGTATGCCATAGCAGCCAAAAGAAGGCACTCAGTCAGACCCATGCCGACAAAGAAAAAAAACTGAGCAGCACAGCCCGCAAATGATATTGTCTTCTGCTCCCAGAAGAAGTCAGTGAGCATCTTGGGAGCCACAGCAGAGGAGTAGCAGATGTCAATGAAAGATAAGTTGCTTAGGAAGAAGTACATGGGTGTGTGCAGATGGGTGTTACCTCTGATCAGAAGTATGAGGGCCAGGTTCCAGGCTAGGGTCACAAGGTAGATGCCCAGGAAGGTCACAAAGAGGAGGGCCTGCAGTTCTGGATGGTCTGTGAATCCCAGGAGGATAAACATTGTCACTGATGAGCTGTTACAGGCCTTGGTTATGGACATGCTTCTCATGGACCACAAGGACAAGATACAGATCTGAGATAGTAATGACAGTCCACATTACAGGTGGTATTAGGAGATAATTACAAAATGTATGAAAGCGAGGGCAGAGGATTACAGGTTATAGCTTTATGCAAAGACTCTCTTTTTCTCAGCCTCTCTCTCTCTCTCTCTCTCTCTCTCACTCACTCAAAGAAGGCAATTGCAGTCATCATCTTAAACATTTAGGCAGTATAGTGTAGCTGATCTGAGTTTAAACTTTGGATCCAAAATCCAAAAGTTAAGGAGGCAGGTGATATGAGTTTAAACTAGGGATTTCGGGTCCAAAGTTTAAACTCGTATCACCTGCCTCCTCATCTCCTGCCTCCACCATTTACTAGTTGTGTCACTTTGGGTGAGATTGCTAACATCGCTGGCTTCAGCTTCTTTATCCTTAAAACTGGATGATAGCAATTACTTCACCGATTTAAGTGCCTGACACACAGCAAGTGACCAGTGAGTAATTATTAGGACAGTTCTGTGTGCCTCAGATGAGTCAGGTCATGCTTTGGACTAACTATTCCCCTACTTTACCCAAGTTTCAATATTGGAAGGAAAAGATCGATGGAACTAGATTCAGCTATGTAGTTGTGAGATGACCAGTCAGAATGTTTTTAGTGCAACAGATTAGGTCACATGTATATAAAAATGCTCTTAATTTTCAAATATTGGGTCCAAATATACTAATATAGGTCGAATTTCAAATTTATCTCAGTCTGAGCTTTCTGACTGTTTAATTGCTGAGTGTGGGCTCTGGATCGAGACTGCCTGGATTCAACTCTCAGCCTCAATTAGTCGATAGGTGATGTTGGCCAGGTCACTTAACTCTCTCTGTCTCTCTACAAAATCAGAGATAATAACAGCATCTAGTTTGTTATAGGATCCGTGTAATCATCTATCTATCTATCTATCTATCTATCTATCTATCTATCTATCATTTATCTATCTATCATCTATCATCATCATCATCATGTATCATCTAATCTTAGAACATGCCTTACCCATAGTAACTGTTCTATAACACTGTCTCATTGCTGTTGTTGTCATTTTAAACCTAAGTTACAAAATATCCTCAATCAAATTCTTTGAATTTTCAGAACTTGAAGCATCTTTCAAGATCAGGGACTTGATTTTATCAAATCCACACCAGTAAGGACTCCCATCGTCCCTCACACATCCACACTGAGTCTCAGTGCACATCAATCAGAAGAGAACTGCTGTCATCAGGTCTCTGAAACTGTGTTCCTAACACTACAGAAAGTACCAGGAAAAATGTGGACAGAGGGCCATGTGGCCCATGGTGAATGACCCTTAAAAGTATGGAACATATCTTGATTCTTCTTCAGTTCTTAACTCAAGTAATATGGAAATCAATGAAATTATTTTAATTGGCTTTTAAAGAACTGTGAGCTATTTTGATTAGTATGATGAATATACAAATGTGAATTATTGAAACAAAAAATCATGTTCCTGATTAATAAACGAAAACTGAACATTATGGTCTATCTCCTGAAATAATAACTCAACATTTTTGTGTATACTTTTTATGTACAAGTATATGTTTATGCGGATAGCTGCTTGTATCATAGTACACAAACCCTTGTAACTTGTATATCTTATAGCAATCATTGCAAGTCAACAGCTTAACAATTTGGGAAGTGATACTATCTCTATTTGTGCAGAATTTTTCTTGCTTAATTTGGGAGAGCCACTTTATTTTGACATCCTCAATTTTGACAAATCAATCCATATCTACTCATTGCCAGTAAGGTCTCATTGACCTTCTTAATGTTTTTTCCTGGAACTTAGACAGATGCCCTTGAAAGTGGGGCCCATTTTCTCCCCTCTCAGTAGTTCCTTCTACACAGTTTTCAGTGCTAAACCTCTCAAATTTGGATAATGGGAGAATGTGAAGCTCCTTTTGGCTATCACCATGCCATCATTTGTGCAGAGTTTTAAATATTCATCACATTAGTCACAATCTCATTGGTATGACTTTAAGCTTCATCCTATGTTCTAAGGTTTTGCACCTGTTTGTGAAAGGCTTGTGAACTTGCCAGAGTTAAGAGAGCATTCTTTACCCTTTGAGGAAAGAAAAGAAAAACCCACAGCAAACTTTGGCGTAATCGAGTGCAGATGTAGAGCCACATACAGAAATTGAGAGCTAAAACCAAATGAGCTCTGCTGGAGCCCTCACACGTTCTGGAGAGGTGCAGCCATTTAGCAAGGTAGAGGCCTGAGGCCTGTGTTGTGATTCAGGGTCATTTGGGGCAGCTATTCAGGTTAGAAGAAAGGGGAGTGGGAGAAGATAGTGGTTTGATCCTGGGTAGGCTTTAGAAAAAGGCTGGTTCTAATTCTGATTCTGTCACTTGCCAGCTGTGGGATGTTGGGCAACTCATTTAGCCTTTCTGAGTTTCAGTTTCCTTATTTGTAAAATGAGAATAATTGGCCAGGCACGGTGGCTTGTACCTATAATCCAGCACTTCGGGCAGCAGAGGCGGGAAATTGCTTAAGGCCAGGAGTTCAAGACCAGCCTAAGCAACATGGCAAGACCTCATCTCTACAAATAACAATAAAAATGAAAAAATCAGTCAGGCATAGGGGCGTACACCTGTGGTCCCAGCTACTCAGGAGGCTGAGGTGAGAGGATTGCTTGAGCCCACGATGTTGAAGCTGCAGTTAGTTGTGATCATGCCACCGCACTCCAGCCTAGGTGACAAAGGGACACTTTGTCTTAAAACAACAACAAAACAAACAGTAACTACTTAGAGCTTGAAAATTGCTTAAGATAATGTATAAAGGGCTCATGATGGGTCTTGAGATAGAATGTTTGCTTAATAAACCGGGACTGTGATTGTTATCAGCAGCAAGTATTCCTTAAATAATTATTGATAGAACTGACGATCAATTTTGAAACACTTCCTCCTATGTAATAGGTTGAAGTACGCTTATGTTAGAGGAATAAGAAGTGCACTAATGAACCATGCAAGTTTGTAAGAAGTGTTTACAAGTGAGGTTGAGAACTTAATAATACGAGGTTTCATGGGTTAATTCAAAGTCTGTTTTGAATGTTGCCATCAGGAGGGAAAAATTTTGTATTTAAGGATGAGATTTCCCAGCCCTGGAAACAGAAAGTGCAGCTGGACAAATTGACACAAAAGGAAAAGCATATGTAGAGTTTTATTTTAAGACATTAGAGAAAAGGTATCTTAAGGGTTGCATGGAGTGTTTTATGGCGTAGAACTCTACACACAAAGAAGTGCTTCTTCCCTTGAGAGAGAAAGGAAGTTTTGTTCACTCTTGCAGCAAACTTGGGGAGACTGTTTGGTCTGAGCCTGGACTCCCTACTAATCTATTATACAGGTATAATCAACACCAGGTCTATTTTACACAGCTCAAGAGGAAGAGTCTGAGAGGCTCAGTGACCTCATTAGACTCATAGATCCAGTTCCAGCATCTTCGTGAACTACACTATCCTCGATGGTCACAGGAAGACAGTAATACAGTAAAATCAAGGACCTAGTATGGTCCTTTGTACATAGAAGATACAGGGTAATTGATGGGTACTTGTAAAGTTGATTTATGACTCTGTTCATTTCCCACCAAATATATCTGGAAGAAGTGTTAAACTTTATAACCAAATTTGCCTCATTTGAGCTTCACAGACAGAGCTGGTGATGGAGGAAAATATGAAATGATAAGAAGGACCTCAGCCAATTTGTGGAGTTGAAGGTGTTCCATGATTTCCCCATTGATCCTGATCTGAGCTGCACATCCTTCACTTCATGATGCTGTTTCTCTCACCCCTGCAGGTGCCTGGTGCCCTCAAGATATTGCTCTTCCAGGTCTTTCTTTTATCTGAATGTATAAATGACTGATGAAATTAGGAGTTCCTCTCAATGTAAGGTGACAATGCAAAAGAGTTCAAGACTTTAATTCAAGAATTAAGATTCAGATGGTATAATGCACAGCATTAGTGAGAAAAGAGAAGGAGGGTTTTGGAGTTTAGAGGCCTTTGCAGTGTTTGAAAAATCTGCTATGTAAAGTGTGTCTGGTTTACAGACCTTCGAAATTACTTTTTGGATTACTTGTTAATAATTGTCGCTGTGTTTAAGGGCATAGAGGTTCCTTCAGAAATGTCATTCCCTTTTCATCACCTTGGTGGTTGCAAGGCGCAAATGCACTTCAGGAAGCCCATCACAGGTGCAGCAGAGAAGAACCAAGACTGGGCTGTGATTTCAGAATCAGGCTCTTAAATGCCCCACTCAGATGATCATGATGAGCAAATTTCCCTCCTCACAGTAACCTTGGTTTTTGAAAGAACGGTTTCATATTTATTTTACCTTAGCATCTAATAGTATGCTGGGTTTACTTTTCACAAAATTTGTAATGAACAGTTAATGCATTTATAAAGCCAATAATTCATCATGGTTTTCTGAAGACTTAAAAAAAATGCTACTGAATATTGAATAGTCAACTGATTGCCAGTTGAAGAGACCATGTGTTTCTTTTAGCTCTCTTTTAGTAATATGTCCCATTTAAGACAATATGGAATAGTGTACTAGGCAGTTTTCATTGCTATCAAGGACTACCTGAGGCTGGAAACTTTATAAAGAAAAGTGGTCAGTTGGCTCACAGTTCGGCAGACAGTACTAGAAGTACGGTGTTGGCATCTGCTCCTGGTGAGGGCTGAAGGTAGCTTATAATCATGGTGGAAGGGGAAGGGGAAGCAGATGTCTCATGTGGTGAGAGCAGAAGCAAGAGAGAAAGAGAGCAACACAAGGGGGGCAGGTTTAAACAACCAGCTGTTGCCTGAATTCATGCATCACCAAAGGGATAACACTACGCCATTTATGGTCCAAACACCTCCTACCAGGTCCCACCTTCAGCAATGGGGACTACATTTCAACATGAGATTTGGAGGAAACCAACACTCAAACTATATCCAACGGAGTCCAGCTTATAGTATACATCAATTTACAA